ACCTATTTGTATGAATTAGAATTATTCTTTCTTTGACAGTTCTTCAGCAAGCAAATAGAAATAAGAAACTTTAGTTGACCAGACTGATCCTGGTAAACAAGGTTGCTATGAATACATAACTACTGAGCTAAATATTGTTTTTTCCATTCTTGATGCAATTGTACGAGAAGTTTCATATCTAGTAAAGCGTGTTCACAGAATATATGACGATGAGATTAATTTCTTTCTTATTTAGCTTAAAGCTTCTGTAGATTTAATTCAGATGTGCTATAAAATGGCCAATGTCACATAAATTTGAAGATTAGGAGGAGAAAGTGGTTTTGAAAAAAATAGGAATTTAATAGAAAACAGTTGCAATGTTACATGTGATAAGGCAGTCGTGGTGTGATGTTATCAAGACTTCTGATAACTTAAAATGGAAACTAATCGGGTATTTCAATTTCACATTTATTCTGTCTTATTTCAGCTTAATTTTAAAAGCTTAAAAATACAAGTACAGATTCTTTTCTTTATTTGGTCTGTTTAAACAGGCAATGGAGGTGGATGGGAAGGCCTGGAAATAGGGTCAGCTACAATAACATGCTGCACGGTCTTGTCCTCACTTTAGAATTTTGAGTGGCTCCAGAGATGGAGACTCTGCAAACTGGCCTTCTTTGTTTGTTTGCTTGTTTGTTTTTTAATACCAGCCCATTAATGAAACTTGTAGTTAGATCAGTTGTGGTACCACCAGAGCAGGGAGCCATCCCTTCCTGGTTGAGGATTCCTGGGAATGTTAAGTCATTGGTATGTCCTCTGGGATGAGCTCAGAACATGAGTCTTGTAGTTTCATATTTAAATTATGATGTAATCTATATGGATTTTGCTTCCATAAAGGTTATGGAGCTAAATATTTTCTAAGTGTACAGCTCTTAGAGATCCTCTGTAGCTGATACTGTTAATAAAGGGAGTAGGTTCTTTATAACATTGAGCTTACTGTGACTCTGAAGGAAATATTCAGTATTTATTTGGATATAGTTTTGAGTCCAAAAAAAGTCTTAATCTGACTTTAATACTGGAGATTTTAATATTTAAAGAAAAGAGAATCCATGATGCAACTTCTTTGGTAGAAATAGGAGAAAAATCTTCCACAGTTGGAAAATTACAGGGTGTGTAGGTGTTGAAATGCCTCCCGATTCAAATTCTTATTTGGCAGCAAGCCACATGCTAAGCCTTTCTATTTTAAAGGGGAACACTCTGCTTTTCATTACATTGCTTACTCATAAAATCGCATTTTTTTAGTAGTTCTGGTTTCTTCCATCTTGATACAAAATGAATGAAGTATTTAGTAAAATACTTCCTCCAGCTTGCATTGAGGTTTTTGTGTTACTACTGGATGGTGCAAAAGTACACACCCTTCTTGGCGAGGCTGCAAATGGAATTTTATGATGTTCTGTGTCTCATCCGCCCTGTGACCTTCATCCACTTCTGTGGCTCTAGGTTTCTTCTGTTATTGCAATTAGTATGTGATTCTCAAGGAAATGTGCCATAAACCTGAAAAGCTTTAATAGTCATTGTTATAAATTAGATAATAAAGTGATTTTGAATAATAGAGAAATATTGCAAGCTGTAAATAAATCAATTTTTAATCTTTAATTTAAATCCTTTTTTACTGAGTGACACAATAATGTCCTCTCACTGAGTTAGACATTATTGAGAGGTTATCTCATTATTGAGATATTGCTTCTAAAATTAAGTTGTATCAATACTAAAATCAATCTGAAAAGGTGTAGTCTAGTTGCTTCTCCCTGATTTCGAAAGGCTTTAAAAATGGCTTTTGTATAGGTCTGGCCATCAAAACTTTTCCACATTCTTGTGTTTACAAACAACACTTAAAATAGATTGCTGTAGACAGTAGCCAGCCAGAAAATTGGCTCCTAATGCTTTTCAAGAAACTCACAATAATTTGAACTGATTTTATTACAGAGGATTAAAAAATAGAAACTTACTGATGCAATTTTTCAGTTGTAATACACAGTGTATTTTATTTAGGAAAAAAAAAAGCAGTATTGGATGAGTAATTTTCTGTGTTCCACAAGTAAGGCAAATAGCAGAAGAAAAAGATAATCCCATTTAAACAAAAAGTGTATTTTTATACTCTTTGCAATTTTTTTTCTCCTTGGCCTTGAATTTGTGTATCTTCAATTCATTATGCCCTTTAGTCTCTCACATCTTACTCTCTCTTGTGAATTTCCATGTAAATTTTAAGTATTTAGTATAATTTTCTGAAAGTTCAGAAAATGAGAAAGTGAAATATTTGAGATGTAAAAAGTGATGAAGTTTAAACTACTATTGTATTTCTGATGACAGAAAAAAATGGAGAAAATTGAAAGTGAGCAAAGAAACACTAAAGTCACGATGCTTCACCTAAAGTCCCCAATAATTAAGATCACAGGGTAAACCATTGTTATAGATAGAAAGGAAACTTGGAATCTGCTCTGTCTGACCCTCTTAACCCTTCTTCAGACCGTGCGGCTCTGAGAACCAGAAGAAAACCAAAGTAATTTATGAAAATTTGAAATTTGAAACATTTAACAGGAAATAATTCTTCTAGGTTGCTACTCTTAAAACCACTGTTCTCCACTTAGCAACACATATAGTTGATTTTACATCTAATGTTAACTCTCATCCCCTGCTATAATTTTTTGATTTGCTTTTAGCTATTATAAATGTATAGAAACAGTAAATGCAAAGTCTCTGCTCTGGATGTGATTCCCAAATTTTGCTTAGTGGGTCAGAATATTGCAGCCTTGATCACAGCACTGTGTGACAACCTCCATACAGTGTTCACGGCTTGCTGCTCCCTTGTCACTTGCAGAATTAATCCTAACTTTTATTCTATTTGTGTTTTTAATCTTCGTAATATTTAAGAATCACATGTCATGCAAATAGAACAAAGATAGTGATTCTCGGAATTCATGATGGATGACGCTGATTTAGAACTCTGTTAGTTCAGCTAATAAGTTGGTGGTACGCCCTTGTTGGTTGCTGTTGAAATATGGAAACCAGACATATTTGATTTTTGTCTTGATCACTTATTTTAGTTAGGTCTGTAATTGTCCAAATGTTTTTGAGGACAATATATGTTATGTGGAAAACCAGTGGGACTATTGCTAGTGCTAAAGGTAAGCATAAGCTGCCTAAGGCTTGTGATATATTTCTGAAATTTGTTTGCAATGTAGGTGAACTGTAGGTGAGTGACAGGTGAACGGTCTTTGTGTCTGCCCTTAGGTAGGCAGTGCATGGAGGATATATGGGGGTACAGGCGTTCGTAGAGCGCAATCTCTCTGACCTCTTTCTGCTGACATAAATTGTTCCCTACCAAGACCTGTTTTCTCTCCCTCATTGTAAAGGAAAATAGTCTTAGAGGTGGACATGTGCAACCTGCACTTAGGTGAGGTGAATGCATTTGTACATGCTCAGCTGTAGGCAGCTTTGGAAGTATTGGCACCTTCATGTTAGATGGGTAAGCAAATGAGATGTAAATATTGCTGTTGTAATTACCCTTTCTGAAAGCGGAAGGTGTTGTTGATGCAGAACTTGCCTAAAACCCTACACAGAATGATTTTTCCTACAGCAATATGGAGAACTTTGCAAATACTAACAAAAAAAGGCTTTCCAGTAGGGCACTACAGTGTTTCTGCTAGCATGTTCTAGTCGCCAGTGATTTTAATCTGATTTTTTTTTTACTTGTGCTTCTCACTTATTACGCAAACATGTCCTCATTTTTAAAAGTGCATTCAAATGCATTTAACAAAATCGAACTAAATTGGGCTGCTTGTCTGTGCCCGTAAATAACTATAATTTTATTTAATCTCTGAGAGGCATAGATGTTGAGGATGATTTGGAGCATTAGTGGAATGTGCAATAATATATTCAGCTCTAAATGCTGCAGGAAGGCTTTGCATTTTAGCTGTGAATATCCTAATATATTGCAGTGACAGAACAGAACTGGAAGTAGAAATTCACTGTCTTGTGACTCTTACATGTACCTAGTTCCTTTCTCTATATTTTTTGCAGAGAAAACTCAGAATGACCATGGGATAGGGCATTCTACATGGAAGCATTTAAAAGTATTTTTAGTCCAAGTTTCTTTTTGGAAAGTGTGTAATCATACTGTACATTATAATTATAATGTCATACTAAGAAAAATGCTTGCATGTGTTCATTATGTACAGTGCAATTTAGTATGCTTAAGAAGAAGCATTTTCGCTGTTTGGGTAGCTGAATATCCTTAGCAAAGCAGGTTTTATTTAAATGGGGGAAAAAGTGCGTTTTAATTTAATTGCTAACTTTGGCATTGGGGAAAAGAAAAAGGAAAGAACATTTCTCTTTCTGATTCCACTTTAGACATTCCTCCACCTTCACTGGTACCTACCCTTTTCTTCTCCCTCTCCCCCACTTTTTTGTCTCTTTGTCATCAGGGTATCACCAACAGAGGCAGAATGAGAAGAAACATAGAAGATACTTAATCTACTCTAGTTTTTGGATATTTTGATGTTTCTTTAGTTGTGTTTAACAACATGAACATATGTTTGATTATCTTCCCTAAAAAAAACCCTGTTCCTGCAAAAAGTTATGTTGAGTTTTTTTTTTTTTATGCATCCTTCCATTTGTACCCTTTCTGTGCTTTATCATCTTCACTCTTATGGGAAAGCTTCTACAAAATCACTGCCTTGATGATATAGTTTGGGGGGGAAAAAAAGTCTCTCAAATATCTTGCTTCCCGCTTCCCCCCCAAATCTACGTTAAGAATTAGATCATTTCATATTAGAACTAATATGGAACAGAATTTAAGGCTGACATACTTTTAATGTTGTTTTCTGCTACATAGTATCTTAGTGTTTAAGAAAAGAGTTAATGCCTCTTTTGACTTATTATCAACAACGTTGTTCTTTTTAATGAAACCTGTGAACTTGAAGACATCTTAGGGTCAATGTTTAAAATGCATGTATTTTTGTAAGCTCTGGACAGGATATCCAAGGAACAAGCGTGGTGGCAAATCTTCCTGTTCTGATGCGACAGAATCCTACAGAAACACTTATTCGGGTTTTGCCAAAAATCAGGGTAAGTTTTTGTTCCGTGTTAGTTTTGTTCGGTAGCATATACGGCTAATGAGGGTGTTCGTGTTTTTGAATATGTTTGTCTGACTCTTCAGTGATGGATTACTTAGCAAATACTTTTCTGTGAAATATTTAATTGCAAGCTCTACTGCATAATTTTCTGCAGAAGAATCTTTAGTCTGTCATATTGGACATCACCTTTCAACTTTTCAACATCGCCCACCCACCCCAAAAATAAAGTTTTAACTGCAATTTGGCATATATTACACAGAGCTGAGATGCTTCTTTCTATCAAAACAATTTTCTGTAAGGACTTCTTAATTATTAGTAAACTCTGGTGATTAAATACATTAGTATAAAAGAAAAATATAATTTTGTTTCGAAAACTTGATGGTTAAGCTGTTGGAAATAATTCCACTGTTTTGGGACAAAAAGATTTTTTTCATGTACAAACAGGAAATGACTCTGGGCAGAAATAAAGTGGGAGTTGTGGCCTCTCTCTCACTCCTTAAGCCTAATATGTGAGTACAGTCTTTGGTTCATGTCTTGACTTTTTATATGGGGATGGAGAAAAATTAAAAAGCCGATCAGGGCCTGGAAAAAGATCTGTACAGAGCTCAATATGTTTCGATCAAGATGTACTTAATTACTTTATAAAAGGATCTCACTAATAAGGAAGAGTATTCACATGAAAAGGTGTGGAAAGAAAGAAGAGTTAGGAATTGAAGACCGATTAAAAAATAGAAATGAAGCAGACCTTTTTTCTATAATAATGATAGTGATTAGCCTTTGAGCAGGTAGCCAAGCAAAGAAATTAATTTTCCATCTTGCGGTTTCTTTTAAGTCCATAAAAAATGCCTTTCTAGATAGTAAATTAAATGAGATTTAAGTTAACGAGCTCAAAGCAGAAATAAAATAGCAAAATATAATAGCTCTGATAGGAGGAGGTCAGTCTAAATCAAAGTGTTCCTTCTGGCTTTAAACTTCATTAATTAAAACTCTCTGCTGTAGTGACTGACTTTTTTTTTCTGCAGATGCTGTTATAAAGCAGATCCTTCTATGCTCCTCTGTTATTTAATACTCTCAGCAGAAGAATCATTCTGTTGTGCTCAAGTTTGCTGCAGTTTTAAAGAGTTAAATGCCTTTGTTTAAAGGCCTTCAGTGCCTTTACTTGCAAAATGTTATTTGGCATAATTGGCCACTTGACCTATAATTTCTTTTATGATTTTTATTGGAGAAATTGTCCTGACTATTAAGTGGAAATTTTGCACAGCCTGTGGAGGTATAAACCAACTTATTTGCAATTAGGATCTTGCAAATGTCTTACGTTACAGGGAACTAAGCTGATCATTAACTTACTGCATTGATTTCATGTCTGTAAACTGGGAAAGATCACTTATAAAGTCAAATTTGTATGTAAAAAGTAAGATTTTTTTTTAAAGAAGAAATAGACTTGTAGGGTTATATCTATTTAACAGTATTGTCAATACATAACAGAGTAAGAAAACCCAATTACTTTTTTAGTATCTTTGGGGAAACACAAAAGCATAAATAAAACTGCTTATATTACAGCTGAGGATAAAACAAGTTCAATGAAAAAAGTATGAGGAATGTTCTGACTGTCTGGATTAAAAATTATTTCACTTGTGATAACTGCTAAAACCTAGTTTCTTTTATAGATAAGTGTAGAAATGGATAAATGCAAATTTATCATCTTTCTTTCAAACCAATTAGATTAAAATGGTGTGAAAGACTCTCCATATATTTAGCCATAGGTATTTTAGGTTGAGATGAGCAAAATCAATTATGCCATAGATAGGTAAATGTGCCAGATCTGAACAATGATTAAATTTAGTGGCAATATTTGGGACAAGTTAAAAAAAACAAACACATTACATATAATTCTGAAGCTAATAGAGGAATTAGATCAGCAAGTCTTCTCATAAATTATAGAGATGAAATGAAGTGGAAACTGGTATGGGTTCTTTTGCAGAGATCACCATTCTACATTTCTGCATGCACCTCCTTGTGAACCTTTTAAGTCACTGAAATCATTGAAATGCAGGTTTAGGGAAAGCTTAGACCTGCCTTTTCCAGGTGTTTTGACTGAAGGAAACAGTGGCTATTGTTTACTAAAGTTTATACCTTATTCATTACTGTCTGATTTGTTCCAAACTCACTTTCCCAATTACTTACTTTCCTCGTACATCACTGTATCCTGGATCTGTGGGGACTCCGTGTACAGAAAAACACACTGATTTGTAAATAAGTAAATTTATATTACGTCAGCTTGGGTTGCTCAACTGAAATGAGGATGGAGGTCCACACAATTTCATAGATGGAACTGCACAGTGAATTTTAGCATTGTTTTCCAGGTGAAGGAAATGTTTCTCTCTAACTCGTATTCTCAAACAGAGGAAGGAATTGTTAACTGGCTTGTTTTTATATCTTGTTTTGTAAAGTAGAAAAATCCATACATAAGCATAGAGGAAACTGAAAGTTGAGAAAATATATTATAATTAACCTCACTTTTCTTAACAGATTCCTGTTATAGTAAGAGAGATTTGAATATTTCCAAGTAAGCACTATTAGGAGAAAATGATTTTACAGCTAATTTTGTAATCTACCCATATTTTTGCATACTGGTTCTTAAAAATGAATGTAGAAAATTGAGTGTTCTTTCAATAATTTTCCAGCTCATCCTTTTAAACTGATATAATTTGTAATTATACAGGAAGTGCTGCATGTTGCAGGAGTGGAAATGCAGTTAACAGCTGCTGTTTCATTTTTGACTGTTCTGCAAGAGGAATCAGTGTCCATTCATACGTACTCCCACTCCTTTCTACACATCATTCTACAGAATCTGGAACACAGAGATGCAGGTCAGGGCTTTACAACTACGATGATGACTGATTAATTCTGTATGTTTTGTTTCCTTAGCAACTGTATAATACTGTGTAAAGCAGTGCATACACTTGCATAAAATAAAACATTTTGGCATGCTGGCAACTTATGGGTATTTAAATACGTCATCTTCATTCTGGTTGAAGCAAAGAAAAGTACTTGCTTTAACTGGAGGTCTAAATCCTGTAGTTTTTACTGCATCTGAAGTTCTGAATTACTAAAATTCTTTGACTAAGAAAATAAAGGGAGAATGATTGACGTTTCTTCTATGATGATTTCTTTTTTTGACACTATCTTAAAGTTACACAATAAAAAATGGCCTGCTGTTGCAAAAGTAGAAAGTTCATGTGGAAAAGAAAGGAATATGCATATTCTAAATGAAGAAATTTTTCTTTTTTTAAGACAGAATAACTATTTTCCCCTGCCTACACCAGCATTTAAAAGGATAAGAAAATGGGGGCAGAATTTGCTTCTGATATATGCATCTGACTAGTGAGTGTACAGTCTTGAATGTTAATTTAAGGCCTTTTATATATCTAGCTCCCCAAAGAGGTAAATGCAAAAAGTGAGAAGTAATTTTATAAAATCAATGGGCATTTGTTTATACTTTCTGTGTATGCATAACGTAACATATACCTGTTTCTTACTGGCAGGTGTCAGCAATGCATGGCTAGAAACTCTACTTGCTGTAATAGAAGTTTTACCCAAAGAGACTATTAGACACGAGGTAATAATATTCTTCCCACTTACGCCAACAGAAAATTAATGTTGCTCTGTTTTTCCAAAAATTGGGAGTTCCGTAAAAATCTCATTCACATCAATGAGATTTGTGGCTGTTGTACTTCTGTGAAAACTGGTAACATTTATGGAACAGACTTGGAGAGGAATGTGCTTAGACCTGACAGGAAAGTCACCTTAAAAACCTTCAGTGCTCTTCATCAAATAAATACCATATACATTTTAACACTTGGGTTACACATAGTATTTTTTAGAAATGTGTTCATGTACCCTGTACTGCCACGATTACAGGGCAGTATATCATTCTGTCTCTTCATGAGGAAAAGACATCTTGTTTGTCACTGGACAAAATTCTGGATTTTTGCTAAATGGGACTGACTGCTAGAGATATTCCTGATTGTGTAATCTAATGTCCTGCAAACACTGTAGTCTTTCACTTGGTAGGCTGAGGAAAAGGAACAAATTCTATCGCTAAGTCATAAAGTACCTCCTCTTTACTCTGCTTATTTATTAAGTTTTGTGCTGAGAATTTGTGCTAGTAATTGAAATCCTGCACTATTTTTTTATAACAAAAATATTCTAAAAGTTGAAAACTTAGATGGTTAGGAGAAAAAAAGAAGAAAATAAATCTTGTCAGCTCCAAATCTGTTGCTAATATAATTTTAGTGAACTTCACAGAAGTGTTGTGACAAGCTACAGGAGGTATTTGTAGTGTTCTCCCTGACTCAGCATTTGGATTTCCATCATAATTTCTCTGCAAAAAGTAGTATCCCTGAAAGTTGTATTTTACAAATCCTCTCTTAGTTTATTTCTGGCACTGTAGAGGTGATCCATCAAATGGCAGCACGGCTCCCATATGAGCTGCAGGGTTTCTACGTCTATATGGAAATGAAACTGCTTCCCTACAGATCCCCAAAGTATACATAATTAAGAGATATCATTGCCTCCAAGCTCCATACCAAATTAGGTGTTTTCTATGAAAATTAATCAAAAAGAACCTCAGAGGGATTCCCTTTTCTTCTTTGTCTGTTGTTTTTTTTATGCAAGGACAGATTTAAATTTCTTTTTCTTTTCTTTTTTTGTGAAAATTCCCAGCTAATAGCTGTAAATACTCATATATAACTTAGTCTCAAAATAAAGGCTCAAGTAGACAGATGTAAAACTATGACTGTGATGTGAATCACAAACTGAAATTTGGGCCAAGATATGGATGTAATATACTATAATTAGTACTGAATGTTAAATGCAGATTTCCAGTAGGCTGTTAATGTACATATGCGTTATTATTGTTCACACTAATTAATTCCATAAGAGTGGTAGATAACATTTGGGACATACATTTTACTTTTGTTGTTGTTGTTGTTGTTGTTGTTTTTTCTTCTTTAAAAGAAGAAAATATGCTATTTACTGTTCAATTTTTTTCTTCTTTTTTCCTTCATATAGATCCTGAATCCACTTGTTTCTAAGGCACAGCTTTCTCAAACACTTCAGTCCCGCTTAGTCAGTTGTAAAATTATGGGAAAATTAGCTAACAAATTTGAAACTCATATGTGAGTATACTGTACATATATTTTCATTCCAAAGTGTATATCAACTTTTCTTTGTCACATTATTATTACAATTTACTGTAATTTGATTTATTACAATAATGAAATACTTTCCTTTTACAGATATCTGTTTACAGTTATCTACAGGTTACTATTTATCTGGGTAGTAATTAATGATAAAAAAAAATTCAGTATATAACTAGTATATTCATACTTGCTAATGTTCATATCTGACTTCAATTTATATATTCTTCTATATATTCAGTACAATTTTCACCTCAGTAGTAGTATTTTTCTTACTAGGAAATAAGCCAAATGGTGAATGTCTCTACAACTTATGAAAACCAAACTCGACTTCATCATCGTAAGATTTCTTATCATAAAGAACCCACCTTCTTCAGTTTTTATTTTTTAACCCTAATTACACGACGATTTGTAATTATCTGTCCATAGTTATATGGAAGAGCATTAGGAGCCCTTGCAGGAAGTTCCCTCTAATGATGATTTTAATTCACCTCAAAATGCAAGAATTCAGCATAATAGAAGAAATGAGCAACAGAACCATTTGAGAGAAGATATTTGGAAACAAATATATTTTCCTTCAATGAGAAAGAACTAAAGGCAAACAAAGAGTAGATATCTATGCCTTTGCTATGTACATACTTGACAGATGTGTAGAAATAATGGTTGTGGTGAAATACTTTGAGATGGTTACCAAAGCCTTCAAATCTTTGTTTTTAAAATCCTAATTTGTAGAAATCTGGATTAAAAAAAAAACTAGCTTCTGAATAGAAGCTTCCTGTAGGTTAGATGAAGATCACTGAGAAGTTTCCGAGCTATATGGATCCTCTGTTAAAATATTTTCAGTGCGGCTGAACAAGGTGAAAAAGAGATCTTGATCTGCAGGTGTGGAGTATGGCACAGGCTGAGTAAGATTTATGACACCCTATCATTCCCTGTACAGGGAAGGTTGCAGGAGAGGTGTTTATTCGTGGGAGTTAGCAATGTAGAAATATGTCTTCACATTCTTTTCCAGAAAGGCATTATTTTTCCTCAAGAAAATTTATACTATAGTAAAATTTCTTTTGTATGACTTCCAGGATATTTGTATTGGCACAGTCATGACCTTAAAAAAAAGAAAACATGGCTTTTTCTACATGCTGTTCTAACAGCTGGCTAAATTCAAATCTTTTTTTAAAAGTAGTTAGTACTTCAGAGTATTTTAAAATGCTGCACTCCCAAGACTTGGTACAATTTTTGGAAGTTCGGGGTAAATATGTGCTATAAGAAGCAAATTAATTTTCATTGGGATGAATAGAGGATGTGCACACTAACTTGAAAATGTTGTTATCTCTATTTCATACCCTTTCTCTGAGTTTTGAAACAACATAAGGTTTTGGACAGAGATACTTTAAACTCATAACAGAATCTTGGGCAATGAAAGGAAACACAATGCCTGTATCTGCCAAGCTACTGTCTGTGTTTTTACTTAAACAGAATTCAAAATAGCCTTTCTATGTATCTGCTGTTGTTTTAACATAAATACTAGGATATACTTGCATAAAGTCATTGTAGTGTTGGAGCTTTAAATCTTAAATTTCTTGTGGATTGTTCCATTTTATTCCTAAATATACCTTTGATACATGCTTTCCAAAGATAAATATTAGTGACAGTGAAGCGAGGCCACCTCCTCTGAACATGTTCTGTTGTTTTTATTTTGGTACTTAATCTCCCCAAAGTGTCACTAATTTCTACCTGAGGACTTTTTTTTTTCTCCATAAATTTCAATGTTTGTCTCATGAGTTTTGTTTGAGTCTAGCAACATATATGTGTATCTACACACAAAGACTGAATCATTCTAATCAAGAATGAGCCAAAGAGTGTGTGAATTGTAGCCTTGCATGCATCTCACATTGGCAGTTGAAAGAATTGGGATATTTTACGATCTTCATCAGCTGTATTGAAGCTTAGAATTAACTTCATCTACATATTTTATAATGCTTAAGGGCTATTATAATTATGGGAGTATGTGGATCACCATTTATTGCCCTACAGCAGGTAGACTGCTCATGAAATTTGGACGGATTAATCTCAAAAGAGGGAAAAAAAAATAAAAGCCTGTTTTTACTTGGCAGCTGAGTTTCCACATGGCACGTTCACGAGGCTGAGTATTAGGTGCTGCAGAATTTGCTCAAGCTGTGTGCATTGCATTTACCTTCAGAAAAAAAAAATCTACATGAAGTTTTGGAACTTGACAAAAGATTGAACCACAGAAGTGTGTAAAGGTTTGGAGCATCTTTGGTATACATGGGAAAAGATTAATCCATGTGTGAATCAGAGGAGTTTTCTTATTCATCGTGATTTCTGACTTAATAAAACAACCTCTTATTAGTATTCCTGCTCTCTGTTTCCAAAGCAAAGACAAAATTAATTAGGATTTGCATTTCTATTTACATAATTCTTTGTATTCTTGAAAAAATGTGCTATAAATGGTTGTTAAATTTATTATCAATAAGTTTATTTGGTATTTTCACGTGTTTGGAAAGTATTAGATTAAATATGAGCAAATTATGGCTGTAAATATCTTTGAAGAAAAGTCCTTTTTTGTTTCTTATCTGAAGCAGGGTATTATTTTATATCATTATCATTTATATCATTAGAGTCCAAAAACTAAGTTTTTTTCATCATTAATTGCTGTGTGTGGTAAATTATTTTTTTTTTTTAAATGCGCTTAGAGATAATACATGGGTAAAACTTGCATATTACAAAGTGGATTTTATATATTTTTGTTCTGTATATTAATGAATAATATTCACATTTTTAGTATTAAAAGAGAGATTCTTCCGTTGGTAAAATCACTGTGCCAGGATGTAGAATATGAAGTTAGAACTTGCATGTGTCGGCAACTGGAACATATAGCTCAAGGAATAGGGTGAGTAACATTTGCATAACTGCTACTGAAGGTAAACTCTCTCTAAAATATTTAATGATAACCTAAAAACTCCTTTTAAGATTTCTAATTTAACTCATGTATAATCAATAATAAATGCAGAGCATATAGATACTTTCTTGTGCATTGCAGTTAGCTGTTTTCCATTCTCAGGTTTGTATTTGTATGTGATAGCAAAATTACTGTACTAGATAAGCAACTTTTTTTTTTTTTGAATAAGGAGTTCAAAGTTTATTGAAATAGGGAATTCAAAGCTTATTGAAATCATTTAAATTGTCCATTGATGTCATTTGGCTTCTGGTTAAGACCTATTTAAAAATGGATGAGGACTATGGCAAGTAGTTTCAAATAATTACTCTGCCACCTTTTGTAAAAGTATGCTAAATTTATTGGTAGCATTATTTTTATTTTTGGTACTGAAAGCAAATTTCGGTTTATTATCAGCTTTTACTCTAACCTTGAAGACTCTCAGTATTATACATAGAGGCATATTAAAAGTTCTGGAACTTGTATTCTAACGGAATTGATTAAAACATGTTAGGTTTGGGTTTGGTCTTTGGGTGAACACCTATTTTAAAATTTCTGTGCTGGAGAGAAAAGAGCAGTAGATGCTATTATAGACTTGAAAAAATTGTCAAGTGATGTTTCCTGCCCTGTGTTGTGCAGGGGGACAGATTAAAAGATCCTTATGGTTCCTCTGGCCTTTGAAACTGTGAATCTGGGAGTTACTCAAGGATGAGGCTTAAACTGAAAGCTAAGTTTGTAAGCTACTGTAAAAATGCACTTCAATTTGCTAGCACTGAAGCAGAAAATATCTTTTCGTATGCCACTGCCAATTTTTTGATTGAGTTTGTTGTTGTTGTTGTTATGGTCTAGATTTTTGAGGTACTTTAAAAAAATGAGAGAAATATCCCTGCAAACAATATGATTTACCTCAACTATAGTGGAATTAGGATTCACAGCAAAAACTGAGGCTTACTGTTATGTTCTTAATATACATTGTTTTGGTAAGATCATAAAGAACAGGAATTGCTTGATTCATAGAAAAAATCACTTTTATTGCAATGCAGAATAATATTACACAAGTGCTTTAGACAGCTATTCTGTATGGCCTTTGTTCTGTAGATGTTCGTAGTATGTGAATAATGTGAACAGAAAATTATTCATTTATTTTCATACTTACATACTTACTTCCTTTTATACCAAGGGTGAGCAAAGCATAGTAAATATTTTTAGTGCTTTCCATAACAAATATCTTCATATTTAAAAAAATCTCTAGCTGAGAAGAAAAGGATAGAATTTGCTGATGATATTGCTATTTATAACAATGAAAATTTGATGAATATTTTATTAAACTGAAGAAGTGAGGAATTTGAAATTCAGTTCATTTTTACTGTGTATCTCATACGTATATCTTTATGCAATCTTAAAAACAATTCTGAGTAATGGGAGATTAAATATAAGGAGATGGTTCTATTTATCCTCAGAGAGTGATCAGATTTTTTTTTCTTTTCTTTTATTTTTTTTTCTACATCCGGGACAGGAGGGACAGTTTTAAGTCTTGTATACGTTGAAGTCTGTTAAATGTACTTCTTGCGTCATCAAACTGGAAATTACTGGAACCACGTTTAGAAAACATTTCTTGGTTTAGTTTTTAACTCGCGATTTCTGGATCTCCATCTAGGATGATGTACTAATCTCCTTTCCCATGACCCTTACAAGACATGTGCATTTCTTTTTCTATCCTCTTCCTTCCTTCATTCCCATTTCATTTTAACACTTACATGAGATTTTTTTGACTGTGTGTTAACATTTTTAATAATGAACTAAATTGTATATTGTATCTGTGCACTGAAAGTCTTAAAAAGAGATAGGTGCTGTGTAGTGGCAGTTGACAGTATCAATGGCAATGTATCCAGCTTTAAAACTGTGGTTTAGTAGGTCTAAATGCATAGTTATCAGTTATTGCATTGTGCTGTATATTTTTCTTGATTTTTTTTTTTTCCCTCCCCTACATTTGCATTTATGTATCTGTATACATTACTTTCTTTCTGGTAGTTTCTGCGTTGGCTCTTGCTTTGTGGTTTAAATGCATAAATCTTTAATTTCATAAGAAATGGAAAAATGGATAATTTCAGTGCATAAACTGTTGCTGTGTTTTAAGTTGGTGATGAGTGAGTAGTAGGAAAATAACAATAAATAACCAAGAATACACCAATTTTTTTTAATGGAAATGTTGAAGGCATACTGTGACAGCAATCACACAGCTTCTTTTTACTATTAAGGGATGTAATCACTAAAGGTTTATCATGTATTTTCTAGCAATTTTATACAAATTATTAATCATCTGTTCAGAAGAAAACTGTTAACCTATAGCTAGATTTGCTGGTAACATTAATAAGTAAATAGTAAGGTACAAATCAATTTGGCTGGTGCTTGCTATTTATAAGTCTTTGAAAGTATTATTGTTTTCCCAGACTTGCAGAAGGGATAGCTGTTACCTTTTGGGTTTGATATTTTGGTTGGATATTTTAGCATTTTTATTTCTACATATATATATATATATATATATATATATATATGGTTCTGTATTACCCATATTTAATTGTTTTTACTTTGGACCTTATTCTTTTGTTACATTAAGTACTTTCTGAATATTCAGAGTAATAATCAGAAGAATTTTCTTACACATGGTGATGTAGCTTGACTTCTTGCGTTTTTTGAGATTACATTTTTGTCTGATTTATTTTGAGCTAGTTTGAAACCTTTTTTGTGATGAGCTTTTTGCATTTTCAGCTTACATGTTTATTTGGCCGATGAAAAGTCCTGAGATTATGTGCATTCATTGTTTTTATTTAATTTTTGTTGTGTTGCAGCTTTGTCATTTTTAACTTGTTGGCCACCAAAATAATGTTTGAATAAGTAAGAATTTGTATTGAAACATTGTTTCATTGCATGTTTTTTCTTGACTGTTTGCCTTGCTGTGCAGGACAGAACTAACAAAAACCGTGGTGCTTCCTGAATTGGTAGAACTGGCAAGAGATGAAGGCAGCAGTGTGCGTCTTGCAGCCTTTGAGACATTAGTGAATCTGCTTGAAATGTTTGATGCAGGTAAGAGCTTAATTTAGACTTGCAAGCACAGTTATTGAGACTTGAAGACACCTTGCAAATGTGTTCAAGTAATTTTTGTTCTGTCGGAATTTTTAGGACATTTCATTTGTTTGGTTTACAGTTTTTATCCTTTACACTTGTATATTTCATATCTTAAAATGCATCATACAAAATAATTTCAAAAGGGGTATGAACTAGCTGTCCAAAAATCCTCTTATTTCTTATTCCAGGTTTCTAATATAATGAGTTGAATAAGTTGAATAAAATTACTTTATAGCTGATCAGAATATTGAGTTATTGTCTTTTACTTAATACTGTAAGATCTGTAACACAATAATTTAATGCAACAGATAATCAATTTTTGTGCTCATTTACTGTTAACTGTTTTTGTAATTTTCTTAAATAAAAAATAAGAGTTTTAAGTAAAGCTAGTCCTAACTGCAGCATGCCTTCTGAGCTGAAGAAGCCAGGCTGGAGTAGTGATGTGATATTTATGTATGTATCAGTAAACCTTGCAGTTTTAGCATTCACTTTATATGTCAGATGCATTAATAAATTTCTGAACAGAAAATATTTCTTCATGACCTGTAAATTGCAATACACGCAACTGATGCATTTTTAAGATGTACTAAACACCAGCAGTTGCTTTTTAAATCCCTTTAAAATTGACTGTATTTGGCACTGAAAGATTTTTCCTTTACAAAGAGAAAGTAGTATATTTTTTAAAGCTTTTCATTATATATAAAACAAAAAGCATAAATGCTTGTGTTTTCCCAGCAACCTACCTTTTCCCTAATCAATGCATATATGTCATTCTTCAGATGTAGGGATGAGCGTCTGTGCCTTCATGTGAGGAAGGGGAAATTCCATGTTGTGTCTGGTTCTTTTGGCTTAGTGGTGATGGGAAGCCTATGTTCATGGCTCTCAGATTCTCATCCCAAATTCACATCAATGTTGGTTGGAGCAAACTTTGAGGAGAACTGCTTCCAGTGTAATTCCGGCTAGCTGGAGTATTTACATGCTCCAGCCCGCTACAACCCCTTACCCTGCTGGGATTTTATTTTATTTTTTTCAGAGCTTTTCCAATTCTGTTATTAATTTATTCTCCAATTTTTTTGAACCTCTAGAAATATCCAAAAGAGCAAAGCAGTATGCAAAGAGATGCATACTGCAGTGTATGTGACCCAAGAAAAAAAAGGAAAGAAAGAAAAAAAAGAAGAAAGAATCTCTGTTGAGCTGGTGATGGTTGATCACTGCTTATTATTTGCCACTTTTCACTTTATACTGTCTTTTTCTCCAAATTTCGTCATTATTTATCTTCATTAGTGACTTTATTTTGCACCACATTTCCGACTCCCACTCCTGTTTTACTGACTATGCTATTCCTTCCTGATGCATAAGTGAGGAGCAAATATTTACTTTACAGGAACTTGTTGATGAATTACTAAAATACACGATTGCATATAAGCCATATGGAGAAGTATGTAAAGAAATAAGATTGTTGGGGGAGAATGCCATAAGTGGAATTTTTAGCTGTTAGGACTTGCATTAGTAAGTATAATAGGTTAATTTTCAAATTATTTTAGTCATTTACATTGAAATGCAACTTTTTTCCTCCTAGTCTTTCTCCTCGCCCCCAAAAATTACTGTAACTGTTGATTTTAGTTACTGAAGGAAGGCTTGAGGAAAAGTCATTGGGGATTATTTATAGTTTTGCAAGGAATGTGTTTCTAGAGGTTCGGGTTGTGTGCTTTTTGGATACATGGCTGAACTAGTAAATGAACACTTTGCAAGTAATCCATAATTATCTGCTAGTTTGTTCCCCACAAAATGAAAATATTTTGTTTTCAATGATAACAGGTCAACTTAAATATTTTGTTCAACCCCAAACACTTGCTGAATTTGGATGTTATGCCACCATGTAAAAAATCCTAATCTCTTAAAAATGTGACCATTAAAAATACAGTATATTAATATTTATTATATTAAAAATACAAGTCAAAATGTTTCAATTTGAACGTTTTCCTCCTTCATCTTGTAGGGAGACAGAGCACACGACATTATTTGCTCAATTCAACTTTTATTTCTAATTGGTTTAATTTCTTTCCCCTGCACTTAATTACTTTGTTTCACTGTGAATTTATTTTTTACCATAAGACTTTCAACCTCTTCTCAGTAGGTTATAAAAACTCACTTTTAACACACACAGATTTCTCTTTTGCACCGTTAGTCATATTCTCTCTTTATCTCCATAAATTCCAAATAGATATCATGCTAAAAGAAGTTAGCAACTGTTCATTTACTCATATGCTGTGGTTCAAAAGGGTTTCTTTGGTGGATGCCCTCCCTTTAAAAATTATTATTATTTTAAAAACATGAAGAAGAAATGGAATGGCAGGTAAGGTCTTAAAAACTAAGAACCATACTTTAGTACTATGTTGGTCGTTCTCTCTATTTTCTCCATGTTAGCAGATATTTTTTACAACTTGTTATGGAAATTTGTATGTGCTCTTTTTTTTTTTTTTAAGTGTTTGATGACCAGGAACTGACGGAGAAATCTTGCTTGTCTTTCAGATGATAGAAGTCAAACGGTTCTCCCTTTAGTGAAATCATTCTGTGAAAAGTCCTTCAAAGCAGATGAATCTATTCTAGTTTCCTTATCATTCCATTTAGGGAAGCTCTGTAATGGACTATATGGTATGTTTTAATTCTCTTTAAAAAAAAAAAAAAAAAAGAGAGCAGAAAATTTTACATATTTAGTCATAATCCTAATGACTAATATTTAATCATCATTTGACATAATATCCAGTTAGCCCGAATTTATCTGTGAAATGATGTTTAGGAAAGTACATAGAGAATTAGAAGTTTGAAATAATTTACCTCATCAAGTTTGAATTTTGTGAATTTCCTCTAAAGGTGTATCCATCTGTTTATTGTTTTTGTTATGGCAAGGACAGAGATGGAATATGATGGTTTTGGTTTATTGGTTTGACTAATCTTTTTTGATACTTTGTCAGATATTTAGGAGAGTTGGATGTTTAAACTTTTGAAACTAGAAATCCTTGAGATCACATTGTAATGTGTATGCTCACTTCTGTGCTAGATACGTTTATTTGAGGCACAGGACAAAAATTCTTTTTTTTTTTAATAGTTTGACGTTGTTTGTCATGTGCAGTCTATGACCAGAGGTAGCTCAAAAGGTTTTGTTATTCTTTCGTTTTGAGTACACCTGCCCCATAAGCACCTAAGCACTCTTTCTCACTCTTTCTCTTTCTTGACTTCAGTGACTAACAGCCTTCTCCTCCGTCTTGAATGGCAAAATGAGCTTTTTTTCCTTGGTCCTTCTCTTATTACTAATAGAGTTATCAAGTTATTGCTTTTGATTTTTGACATAATCTTCCTGTTTGCTTTCTAGTTGGTTCTGATATTTATAATTTTTGTCCTTGCATATTCCTATACCTCCTTATTAGCTTTAGCAACGTGGCCTAATTTTTCCACTTTCTGTGTAATTTTTCTGTGTCATCAAGGTCCATAAAGAGCTCAAAATTCAGTCATGAATAATCAGTATTAGTAGAACAGCCAAACATGTCCATCAAGACTCAATCTTTTTGTAGTTAGTGTTCACTTTCTAGAATTATTTCATTTTCTGTAATTTTCTGTCTGTGTAATGTGTATCAATGATACTCCACTAGACTCGAGGGAAGAGGGGAGAATAAAAATTGATATACTTGATAGATTCACAAATAAGATCTGCTTTTTGGATGTTATTGATAGAATTTGTAATGAGAACAACAAGCCATTATCACTTTTTTTTCTTTTTTTTTCTCGAGGCATTTTTACTCCTGAGCAGCACTTACGATTTTTAGAATTTTATAAGAAACTTTGCACATTGGGTTTACAACAGGAGAATGGACACAATGATAATCAACTACAACTTCAAACTCTGGAACAGGAAAAGAAATATATTTCAGTGAGGAAGAACTGTGCTTACAATTTTCCAGTAAGTAGGCTGATCATGCACATCATTCACACATCAAACATTTTTAGATATATTCTAGCCCTCCCATGCAAAGTTCAAGTAAATGGCTTAGAGTAGATGTTGTACAAAAGCATTGCTAGAAAGCTTTCTAATTGCAAAGTTTCAGGAAAAGAACACTGGAAAATTTGGACTAGAGAGTACTTTTATGTTTTCTCAAAACTCTTAGAACAACAGTATTGAGAAAATGACCCTGAACAGAGACCCCATTTTTAAACCCTCCAAAAGTGAATGTTCTGCTTGCTCTCAACTATGAATAGTTAGGTTCCTAAATGTAAAAAGTCCTTTAAGGCCTTTAAACCTAGTGATTTATTCTGTGTTTTGGTATTTGCATTTATATTTAAAGCATATGTCTTTGTTCCAAGAACTAGCAGGTAGTTATTTTGTGCTGTCTTTTAAAGACAAGCACCGAGATTGTAGGTAGACATCTGTTGGTTTACTTGAGCAAAAAGCAAGGTATGTAAACACACAATTATATTGAAATCCAGATGCTTGCTTTGCTGCATGCTAAAACATTGTTTCTTTCTGAAGTTTCCTATTGCTGCTTCCACTAGTTTACAGAAAGATTTGCAATATTTATAAAATTAAGGCTTGAGACTCTGTTTTTAATCTATGTCTTCAGGCAAATCCTGCAGCATGTCTAAATCCAAATTGGGGGTACTCAAATCTGGAAGTTACCTGACACCTGAGTTTTCACATGGTCATCAGAAATGCTTCACCTCCTCTTTATAATCAGAGTCTTGTTATCTCCAGATGTCTTTCTGGTTGTATTTTCATCTAATAATCTCTGATGTGTGTGTGTGTGAACCTTGTCTGTACAGTTAATAATCTTTTTTTTTTTTTTTTTTTTTCCACAGGCCATGATTGTTTTTGTGGATCCAAAGAATTTTCATTTGGAACTGTATTCTACATTCTTCTGCCTTTGTCATGATCCTGAAGTTCCAGTCAGATACACTATGGCCATGGGCTTCTATGAAGTAGGTCTACAAAGGTTCTTAGTTATGACTTGAGCTCTTTTCTGCTTTATACCATTTTCCTCTTAAACTTATATTTGTGATTGTTAAACCGAAATAAAAAGACTTGAGAAAACTTATTAGTGGTCAGTCTCTTCTGCTACACAATTATAGCCTAGGTACACATATTTACTTACGTGACTTGGCATTTGGCTAGAAGAAGTTATTATTGATAATTGAATTCTGAAGTAAGAAAAGTTTGAAGAAATTCAAAAAGATCAAGTGTTACGTAATGACATAAGTGAATAGAGTAATTGGAATATGTTAAGATTTTGAATGCTATTGCCATGGGTCAGAGAACAAATGAGGATCAAGGCAGGATGAGTTCTTTAATTTCACAATGCAAAACAGAAGAAACTTTACTGAAAGAAGAAATTAAGTAAAAGAAGACAAAGCAGATAGATAAATATGGAGACTGATTAAACCTGAGACAAGTAGGAGAAAGGAACTTTCCACTCTGGTCCTGAAACCCTTCTTTAGAACTGTACAGTTAGCTATTGCGTTAGTAGTCTGTGGAGAATATTTATATTTTTTGAGTGTAAGTTAATTGCTTAAATTTAATATGCAACTACTTTGAAATTTATGCAAATGTAAAAGCATATATTCAGTTTTATATAAGCGCTGTTACATTATTTTCAAAAAATTTAAAAAATGCACAACTGCGTAGATGCTGTTGGCTATATGGGGTGAATTCCAGAAATGAATATACTGTAACTCTGCTGATTTTAATAATCCACATAGGGAGATCTTTGTCCTCGGTATTCACACTGTTTTGCTGAGAAGCTTTGTTTCAGTCCCGTAGCCTAGCTTTTTATCTCGTTCTGTAGCTGGAGATAATGAGAAGTTAAGCAGCTTCCTGGAAGCTTTTAAATCAGTAGTGGAGCTATAAATGAAGCTAAAGTAATTTTCTTTCCACTGTCTTTAGTAAGACAGATGGATTTCCAGTTGTTTGCCTTTTGATGAAGTGAAGATCAAATTAATTGCTGAAGTGTAAAATTAGCATGTTGCTCTGCATAGTATTTCATATGAGATTTGCTCAGTAAAAAATACCTGTAAAATTAGGCCAATATGCATTTATTGCTGTTTGATTTATTTTTAACACTATAAGAAGGCAGACACGTGTCACAGGTACAAATAATTAATGGCATTCACTTCTAGGTGGATATATATGTTTTTTTTCAATTAATTAACTATTTCCCTAAAACTTTTTCTTGATTGGAAGTAAGCTCGTTTGATTCATATAAAGAAAACTGTTAGAAGTATCTAAATGACTGCATATGGTAGAAATCTCAAAACCTCAAGTATATCTCATATTTGTTGTAAAACCTTTTTTGTAGTTTGGAGATTGACTTCTGTTTCTGCAAAACTTTATACGTGACATATGAGTCACAATAAGAAAAGCCTTGAGTTAAGGACTGAAACCTTCAGAAGGAATGTCAGGAAATGTAAAGTCCAGAACTGACTAAGCCAATTTCTGTATTTGCTTCTTTTTTTAATTTTTATTTTTTTTGGGGGGGGGGAGTAAATTATAGAGCTGAGTGACTGTTCACTCTCCTGAGGAGCATGAAGTAGGATATTTAATATTCTAGAAAGAATTTCTCTGGCCTTGCTTTGCAGTCTAAAACACTTTTGAAAAATGTGTTAGAGTTAATCCTAAAAGCATACTTCACAGTTAGACAATAGTTTTTGTCACATATACTTTAAAAAAACATTTTTCATAATGTGATAAGTAAAATGTATGTAACTTTAGCAGGCTAGTGTTAAACAATGGCTCCATATCCCTTGTGCACGCTTGCCTCAAAGTAAGCACATGTAATGTGACTGTTAAGGTTCCATGGAGCTAAAGTGTTTCACCTTATTATCTCGCTGTCATTTTTAGGTTGCTAAGCTTTTGAATTCTGGTGTGTATACAATACATAAAGAACTGGTAACACTGCTACAGGATGAGTCACTGGAGGTAATGTGCTCTCATTGCAACTTTCTTTTGTTTGCTGCATTAAAGCCGATTATCTAGAGGTTTAATAATGCTAATAAAACAAAGTGTTGACTGTTTGATATGATCGATAGCTCTTACTTCTGTTTTACAGTCTTCATGAAGACTGCAAGACTTCTGTAGTTCAGGAGGAAAATAGGAAGATGTTTGAGTTGAGTGAACTCACAGTGATTTTACTAGCTTTTAGAGTACTTGATATATTAGCTACTTGAATACTTCAAATATTTTATTAATTATTTTAGTATTTATTACCATGTAATTTCTGTGAAAAGGTTTGATATTGGTAATGTATTAAAATAGGTTATTTATGGTATTCCAGGTTTTTACTAGGTTTTATTTTCATTTCTTCAGCTGAAAAGGGATAAAGAAGTTATGTATGATTCAAAGATCAGGGCATACAGAAAGGGTTCTTGTTTGAATTCTCATGCTGATTAACTGAGTGTTCTGGAGACAGTTGTGTATGTTAGTGTGCCTCAGTTTTACCGTCTGTAAAATATGAAACAGCCATACTGAACACAATGTGGTGAGGTTTATTTTGGATTGAAAAAAGAGAAGTGTTTATGTTTGATACCAAATCATCTCTGATGACAGTGCTTCTGATATCTTTTTTCCTCTGTGTGTAGGAACTTTGGATTGACGTAAAAGAGTACTGCTTTTTAGGTGCTCTATTTTATTTTGGTATCCAGTAGTAGACATTTTCAAGAAAATTTAAAATAATCTTAGAGTATCTGCTTATAAATTGTGACATTTTGACCCATCTTAGAACATTTTTCAAGTTGAACATCTGAAGTTGAGACTTAAAAGCAGCTGGGGATATTTAAAAATACATTTCAATCCCTATGAAGTTAGCTGAATAATAACAATTTAAGATATATTAAATCCTCTGAATAGGTACCAGAAAGTATTTAATAGTGTGCTTTTCTAGTCCCATTTCTGAGATTACAATGCTTAAAAGTAAGGTTATTTTATTAATTATATATATGTTAATTTGTCAACTACGGATTTTCTTAAAGCAGGAAAGATTCATCTGGCAAATATACTGTCTTCATGTTTTCATGTCTGCCAAGATTATTATTTAACTGTCTTTGAAATATGAATCTTTCTTAAGAATGAGTGTTCATGTTTGAATATTTCATGGTATGCATTGTATAGAAAGCTCTGCCTGTGATAATAATGTAAATAAAAACTCTAGTTCTAGTTTCCTTAATTGGACCTTACTCAAGTATTTATATTAAAATATTGGATTTAAATCCCAGTCATCATCAATGTAAATAAGTTGCACTGTATTCTTTTGTTGCTACTTTCCTTCTTTTTAACATTGGTGAGAGAACAGTTGCATCAGAGATGTCTGTAGGGACATACTAGGGAGAGAGAAAAATTGAGTCAAGTTAATCTACAAACCTGATTCATGCAGCCTTTCTTTAAATAGGTATTAGATGCACTGGTAGGTCACCTTCCTGAAATCCTTGAACTAATGACTAACGGAGGAGAAAACAGTGGATCAGAAAGCAAGGTCGGTGTTCTTACGTTTTATAACTTGGTCTCTAAATGCAAAGGAAGTTAGAAGCAAAGCTGTTGAAAGTACTTGTATAAAAAGTCTTTCACGATTACTTCCTGCTTTAGGAACAAAAGCTTCTCTGGTTTTTGGATTATTTGTTGACTTTATAGCCTTTAATCTTTCAAAACCTTTTTTTATATGAACATGATTTTTTAAAAAATTTTTCTAATTAATTACGAAGTTGCTAGGTAGGTCAGATTTTGAAAATTAAATTGAAAATCAAATTGGCTGGATGGCAGAGCTCAGAGGGTGGTGACCAGCAAGTGCAGAGTCTAGTTGGAGGCCTGTAGCTAACGGTGTCCCCCAAGGGTCAGTCCTTGGTCCAGTCCTGTTCAATTTATTCATCAATGACCTGGATGAAGGCACAGAGTGCTCCCTCAGCAAGTTTGCTGATGATACCAAACTGGGAGGAGTAGCCGATACCCCAGAGGGCTGCGCTGCCATCCAGAAGGACCTGGACAGACTGGACAACTGGGCGGTGAAAAACCTCATGCAATTCAACAAGGCCAAGTGCAAGGTCCTGCACCTGGGGAGGAATAACCCCAGACACCAGTACAGGCTGGCCACATCTGGAGTGTTGTGTCCAGTTCTGGGCCCCACAGTATCAGAGGGATGTGGAGCTGCTGGAAAGAGTCCAGCGCAGGGCTACAAGGATGATCAGGGGCCTGGAACATCTGCCCTATAAGGAGAGGCTGAGGGAGCTGGGCCTGTTCAGCCTGGAGAAGAGAAGGCTGAGAGGGGATCTGATCAGTGTCTAGAAGTACCTCAAGGGAGGCAGTGAAGAGGATGGTGCTGGCCTCTTTTCCCTGGTGGCCACTGATAGGACTAGAGGTAATGGCCACAAACTGAAGCACCAGAAGTTCCACAGGAATTTAAGGAAAAATTTCTCAACAGTGAGGGTGACAGAGCACTGGAACAGACTGCCCAGAGAGGTTGTGGAGTCTCCTTCTCTGGAGATCTTCAAAACCCCCTTGGACACAGTCCTGTGCCACGTGCTCTAGGTGACCCTGCGTGTGTAGGGGAGTTGGACTAGATGACCTCTAGAGGTCCCTTCCAACCTTAACCATTCTCTGATTCTATGATTCTATGAAATTGAATCCAAATTGTGACTTTTTTTTTAATTGGCATCATGCTCAAAAAGTGATTGTAAATACCAAACTATCATCAGATGTTATTTTCATACCTAATTTCTGCTAGAAAGAAGTGTGTTTCTTAAGGTTAGGGCCCTGAATTAGGACTTGGGAGATATGAATGCAGTTCTCAGCTTTCCTAATAATTGTGCGTGTGGCTGTGGATGGTGTTTTATTTAGTGACTCCATTTTCTCAACGGGTCCATTTTCTTGGTTATAAAATGGGACTTTTATAACATCATTCCCAGGCTCAAGATACTGTTTTTGCTGTTGTTTTCTACATGTAGAGAAATCAGATAGTCCAAAGGTGCTAGATTTTTTTTTTTAATGGACAAAATTCAATCTTCTTAACATGAAAATAGGTCAGATATTTTCTATTTTAAATTAAAGAGGAAAAAGGAGGTTTGAGAAAACCTCTCTTGGTTTGAAAAAGAAGCCCGAACAGGAATGGTCTTCATACCTGTACAAGATGGTAACAAAGAGAACAAAGGTCAGTAGTTTTTTATTGTTTGGCAAAGAAGTTAGATAAGAATCAGCTTAACAGGCAGTAGAGATATAATTAATTGGATACTGGAAAAGCTTTTTGACTAGTTAATCATACAAACAATTCAGAGGAGATTGTATAATCTCAATTATCAAACTTTTTTAAAGAGGAAGTTAGAGTAAGCGTCTAAGTGTAATTGATCCTGTTTAAATAGATCAATTAACCGTCTGCTTGTAATCTCTTCCCTCCTAGCATTCCTGTGACTTGTTTGTTTGTTTGTTTAAGCATAGTAATGTGACAGACAAGTTAGAGATGTAAAATTATTTTAATGCTTATATTTTTATTTCTAGTTATTGTCTATCCCTGACCTGATACCTGCATTAACAACAGCAGAACAGAGAGCAGCAACTTCTTTAAAATGGAGAACACATGAGAAGTTACTACAAAAATATGCATGTCTCCCTCATATCATATCAAGTGATCAGATTTATTATCGTTTTCTTCACAGAATGTTGACAATCATTTTGACAAACGTGAGCCTTTGTGTCTCTTTTTTATTGTTTATGATATTTTAGCAAAGGTAGCCTCAGTTATCTGATACGTGTTGCACTACTTTCAGATTGGTATATAACATATAAATAGTACTTCTCATTGTATATTTTGTATCAGTATGTTCTTGTGCTTCGTGTAAGATTGAGAAAAAGCTCTGAGAACTTTTCTCCATTTGAGGAGCAGAACTTGGTGGGGAATATCATTATCTTCCCCCCTTTCCTTTCCTTTTCTCCATTTTCTTTTCTTTCTTTCTAGTTTTTATCAGCTTGCTTTTAGGTAAATCAAAAATCTTTCCTCTGAGATATGTCTTTGTTTTCCTGATTTTATAGATTGCCTTGCATTGTATTCCATTCTCTATGAAATAGTTCTTAATTCTGCAAAGGAATGCTCATTTAATTGCTGGTTTGAAGTTTTATTGAATTAATTCAGGAGTAAAACTCTCTAAGTGAATATGTTGTAACTTTTATTTTCTAGCATCCACATATAGAAAGTGCCTTCCAAAAATTGATGAAGCTAAGACATTTAAGAAATAGTTTAATAGGCAAGCTGGGTGGAAGGAATAAAGAAATAATGAATTAAACTTCCTTATTCTCCATGTACTTATGCCAGAGTTATTCTAAGATGTATTAGAGTAATGCTGAAATGGAGTTATGCTCTTGTGCAGGTGAAGTCACGAAAAGAAGAATCAGGATTCCCATTCACCTGCTCCTGTGCAGGTGAAGTCACGAAAGTCACGAAAAGAAGAATCAGGATTCCCTATTTATCCATAGAAATAGTAGCTGAAACTTAAAATATAAATTTAACTTCAATGTTTCCTTGAAATTCTTAAATAACACTGAAGGCTTTTTACTTTAGCATCCAGTATTTGAATTAAAAACAAGTGAATAATATCTTATGTGTTGATATAAGCTCCATCAGTGCGATTTCTTTGCATTACAGTATAAGCTTTAAATACTGATACATGCCAGAACAACATGCATTTTTTTCTTGATAGCTCTTCTCTTAAAACATAGGTTCTTGCTGTGCCTCATGTGAATTATATTTTAGGTGACTAATAGTCTATTCTTCCAGTCTGCTTGGCAGAATAATATTTTTCTGTGATAAGTCATGGTCTTTCTTTTTGGTATAGCAATACAGCATTGTTGGAAGTGAGATTAAGAAAATGTTATGCAAGATGTTTGAATTAAACATGTTTATGTTAAACATTTCAGGGGCAAGTTTTCTAGGCAACTAGCGCTTTATGAGTAGTTGTACCTGCAAATGGGGCAGTTCCTGGCAGCCATAAATCTATAATTTAACAGAAGTTTGGAGTATAGAAAGTAACTATAAAATCTTTTATGACTATATTTGCAGATAAACTACAGAACAGAAATATTTTTGAATCTATGATATCTAATAATTTTGAAGGGTGGTAGGGTACGGTATATTACCAAGGGGAAAAAAAAGGAAAATAAATTCCTAGCATCTCATTTTGAGTTATTAGTAAGGATGAATATGTAGTATTAAAGTGTAGATAAAAAAAACCTATGTGACCTAAGTTCATAGTTTACATTTCAAAATAACTCGCTCAATTTTTGCTTCTTAAGCACCTGCAATCATTACAATTTAGTTTTCAATATTTTTAAATTTTTTAAAACTTGGGTTTTTAAGCAATTTAAATTTCAAAATTTATACTTTTTTATACTTTTTTTTTTTTTTTTACTGTGTGCTAATGCCTACCCATAGGTTTTGCTTTTTGCTAATCTGATAGCACATTTTTATTATTTTCAAAACTTATAAGGCTAACTTTCAGCTATTTTTTCTACTTCATAAATTTTATACATTTTTAATCATATTCTTTTAGTTATGTTTAATTGTATTTCCTTTATTTCTTTCAAGAATGTCCTACCAGTCCAAAAAGCAGCTGCTCGGACTCTCTGTGTTTACTTACGCTATAATCGCAAACAAGAACAGAGGCATGAGGTCATTCAGAAACTTATTGAACGTAAGATACTTTTTCTTTGATTGCTTAGAGAAGCAAGTTACTTTTGACTGAAGATCTCATTATGGTTACATATGTTTGCCATAAACTCCCCACCACCAGTGGCAGGATTGCAGTTAGCAGCCATCCAGTTCCATTAATCTGGCTCGCTAGTCAGAATATGTGAGGAATATATTTGAAGTCCCCAGGTTGACTTTCTGGTCTGTGCTGTGTGTTCTAAAGATGATATAGAAGGTTGAAAGGTACTCATTAAGAATCCTTACTGCTTACACAATTGTTTTAACATACCTGTGCATGGTTTGAAAGACACACAGGGATATGTTCCAGATATTAGATACTTCACTGACTATTTTTGATTTTTTTTTTTCCCAAATGGTTGATGTGACAGAGGTTGAATTTCTTGTCTTATAGTCATTGTCAAAAATGCCCACTAAATTCAGTGAGCTTTGGCTTCCACCTAAAGGGAGTTTTGAGATAAGCTGAAAAAATGTATCTTCTGACAAGTATGATTATTGTGCTTCAGTCAAAAGTTAATCTTTGTAGTGTTTTCTAACTGACAGTGAAATCTTTGTAGGTAATAACGTGTGAATTGTTATTTTTCAGAACTGGGCCAAGGAAAAAGTTACTGGAACAGACTTCGTTTTTTAGATACCTGTGAATTCATTATGGAACTGTTTTCCAAATCATTCTTCTGTAAATACTTCTTTCTACCTGTGCTTGAACTTACACATGATCCAGTAGCAAATGTGAGGTACTGTACCAAGAGTATGAAACAGGATACAGGAAAAAAAGCTTTATATAATACATTAAGAAATATTGCTATGATTTTTATGTCTTGTCTAAGTGGTAGGATGTGAATAAAAAAGTATTTTTTTTATTTGAAAAAAAAAAAAAAGAAAGAAAAATTACAAAACATTCAAAGCATAAAATGGGAGGGAGGGATCTCTGGAAAAAAAATTGCCAGAAGTATAATAATGAATGCCAGCATAGTAGTAAATAGCTAAATAAGTGACATTAATTTGTTTTTTCCCACCAAATTTGTTAAAAATGCATGTAAAATTTCTCTTAGGATTTCACATACTTAATATCTGCAAAGTGTTTAGGAAGGGAAGATTTTTCCTGTTGTTCAAAGAGTGTCCTAAAAGCAAAAAATAAATTGTGACATTTTTGTTGTCAGTAAGGGAGATTAAAATCATAATTCTGCAGATAAATAGGATTAAGAAAATGACTTTTGCTTTATGTTTATCCATTTGGTAATTGTTTGGCAAATGTAAAAAAAATAAAATAAAAAATAAAAAATGTCACATTTGCAAAGGCTTTAGTTAGTTGAAGCTTTCAACTAAGATTCATTACAGGTGCAGGGTTAGACAACTGGGCATATATGCAGGACTTAGCAGTGCTCATCCTGAACACAGGAGGAATGCAAAGTGAGAAGTATGTAGCTCCCACCAGAGAGAGAGTGAATAACCCTGACTCTTTGAATTGCCAATTTTGGGTTTGTGAGCTTTCCTAAGCAGGTTTGTGAGCTTTGGGAAGCGCTGTGTCAAAGGGCTTCTGCTGCAGGGAGCTGATCCTGAACCTTGTAATCATCAGAAGGCACGGAGAACAGTAGAAAAGGAAAAGCTAACCCAAAACAGTGTGTCTCCTCAAATGATACTCTCTCTCTTGTTATCAATTACTGCTACTATGATTTAGTGCTTCTTACTGGAGTTGATAGAAAACCTCTGAGCACAGAGTAATAGGAAACATGATCTCCTTGCTGAGGCAAGGAATACAAGAGCTTGAGAAACAGCAGGAGCTGGCTACCTGAAAAAAAAGCAGCTGCTTCACCTGGAAGTCACAGAACCTTCAGCATGCCCATACTGAACATGCAGCGCGCTAGGGTTGTGATGAGGGAAAATAAAAGAATAGGTCAGTTTGGGTGTAGGCTGCCGTCTGGGGGATTGGTCGAAGGTATGAAGTCACAAGAAAGGAGTGCAGGTATATGAGAGTTAGCAATAGGTTAGAAAGTAATGCACTGATTCATGGGTTTAGAGAGGCAAGCTTTTCAAGCTCCATTAATCCATTTCAACATCGTGTTGCATCGTTTAACACATAGGTAATTCAATGGCCAGAGCTTAACAAATCAGCAAATCTTTTGATGGTTTTACCCTTTTCTACTTCATTAAAAACACTGAAAAAGAATTGAAGAATATATTAGTATGTTATTCTTCTTTATACAGAATTGCTATTTCTTTATACAGCATTTTTATTCTATTCTTTATCCATTTCTATTTCCTTTACTTTTGTAGTGATTATTTTCTTACATAAATACATTGGGAACAGGCAGTTTAGTAATAACTACAGTTAGAAAAATGTGTGATTTCCATCTTTTATCTTACTTCTGACATTTATAATTCATCTTGTCATCATTTAGATATCTAAATATACAGATTATTATATATACAGATACTATATGTCAATTTACACAAGCATAATTTGCACACAGATGTGTACATTAGTGGCAGTACTTACAGTTATATACCAAGTTAAACAGTACTTAAATAGACTGGGTGTATAGAACAACTTACTTCAAGAAGATCGCAAACTATTTTGAGTCGCTTTCTGCTTATAGGTTAATATTCATGTCTTATGTCATCCTTCTAAAAGAGTCATAGTAAAACAATGAAATAAATGTGTATATTCCTAAGTAGCTGATTGCATCTTCAAAACATTTTAATTAAAAAACCTATTGATACAGTGTTAAAATCTAGTGGAAGCTTAAAATAACTTGTAATGTATTAACTGCCGCTTTGTTGCCCCCTCCCCCTTTTTTTAAAAGAAAACTTTTCCCTTAAAAAAATGTGTTTTTTCAGTAATGAGGTGAGGTGTAAAAATCAGTCCTGGATATTAGCTGGTAATTTTAAAACACATTTAGGGAGTTATTATTCCATCTTTCTGCAGGATAGTATAACTCTAATAGAAATGTTGTGAAGGCTAAAATGTTTTAAAAGTACAAAAAGCAATCAAACAAATTTTGGATAAATCTTTTTATAGCTATTAAACACAAAGTTATCACCTCTGATACAGGAGATCTCCTATTTGGAGAGATCCAGTCACAAACCAGTGGAGATATTTAACAGGGAAATATCACCATATATGTAGATGTATTGTAATCTGTTCTTAGTATTTGCTATTAGATGATATTGCAGTTTGATCAAATGCAGTAATTTTTATTTTCATAAATCTATGAAATGTTTTTTGTTTAATCCATGAAGAATTTTGGCTTTTAGTATTGTAAAAGAACAATGCTTACATTTTTATGGAACTATTTAGACATACATAATATGCATTAAAATCCAGACTGGATTTAATCAGCTAATGAAAGGTCCATCCAGTACCAGAGATGAACACAAGATGAGCAAAGGAGCCTGCAGTCAAAACCAAGAAGGTTTTGCATAGGAGAAAGCAGACTTGATTCCTTTTGGAACTTTTAAACAGTTAAATCAGTTTAGTCTGTCTGATGCAACTTCATCTTTGCAATTGTATGGAACTACATTCACTACATTTCGGCATGAGGTTGTTTACTGATAGACCATATTTCAAGGATATTCAGGGTACCCAAAGGAGTTATGTAGATCATTTTGAAAATCTACAGGTGTCTCTATCTTTCTATGAAAAAAAAAAATGTGTCAAGTCTTTCTTATTTCAAATATAGGAACTGCAAACTGAGACTTCAGTGTCCCAGTCTGTGTACAAATATTACATATATTATGTTACAGTATATCTGAAAATAACATTTAACAATTTAAAAATAATTCCTGAATAATAACTGCTGATTACATGGGTTATCTTCTTAACTTTTAGAATTTTGTTAAATCAAACTGCTAGCATGTAATAAAGAAATTATACAAATAATATATCACAAGTTGAATTTTTACTTTTTTTGACAGAATGAAGCTGTGCTACTTGTTGCCAAAAGTTAAATCAACTTTGAAGATTCCCACTGACAAACTTTTACTTCAGCAACTGGAGTTGTGTATAAGGAAACTTTTGTGTCAAGAAAAAGACAAAGATGTGCTGACTATTGTGAAAAGAGTAAGCATTTTTCCTTTCCAGCAACACTTTATATTGGACTTATTGTTAAAATTTAAGATTATCAAGAAAGTTATGATTTCTGTTGATATTTATTTATTTATTTGTAATTTTCAACAATTAAGAGAAGAATAGTGCACTGAGTTGGTATTTCCTTATTTAAATATACAGGATTTTGAAGTGTTACAGTAGCTCTGTGATATGGATATTCTGAAAAAGATTTAGCTCTGAGAAATGTCACAGAATCACAGAAGAGTTGAAGTTGGAAGGGATCTCTATATGTCATCTAGTCCAACCCCCCTGCTCCAGCAGGGACACCTAGAGCACGTGGCTCAGGGTGGCATCCAGGTGGGTTTGGAAGAGAATGCACCTGAGAAGGAGATTCCACGACCTCTCTGGGCAGCCTGTTCCAGGGTCCATGCTTAGTCTCAAAGATGTTACGAAGTAAAGTAGCTGGTGTCCTGATAGGGCAAGTAGGTAAGAGGGATTGGATGAGCACATGATCAAGAATACATATTTCCGAGCTCCCAAGCTCTCTTTGAGTGTATTTTAAGTTGCATACAGATGGTCTATTAATCCTTCACTGTGTGTCTTAGTGGGACTCTGAGAATGTTCTTTGATGATAATTAGCTTTAAGCATTAGTAAGACACCAATACAAGCATGGTATTCAAGAATTTTGAAGAGAAAACAAAGGAAAATATCACTCTTCTAAGCTTTATCTTGACGGAATTTTAACTAAAATTGTGACATGCTGTTGACTAAGGATAAATGCTATTTTAATTTTTTATAGACAGTGTTAGAACTGGACAGAATGGAGATCACTGTAGATGGTGTAAGTATTTACTAGCCTTAACACTTTCTAAGTACTCTTAATTCCCATTCTCATGTAATGATATTTGTTTTTATTAATTTTATTTTGAAGTTTCAGAAAAGATTTTATGAAAATGATTTATTGGATCAAGAAAAAGAGAGACAAGAACTTCTCCTTTTGGAAATGGTATATTTTATCAGTATATTTTATCATTTTTTGATTAATAGTTTTAATAGTTTAATATCAATGGGGAAATAATTTTAGCCTAGGGGAGGTGCATACAGTGGAAGGATTTGGTGAATTCATAAACAATATCTGGTTTCATTTTACAATAGGGTTAACTTCTTCAAAATAGCTTATAATTTCTCTTCTACTGCTACCTAAATGAGCTGTATTAAATAGAAGGGTAAAGTGGGATTTCTTACAAGATTTTTCTCACTTGTCTCTTCTATAGTTCTAAAAATCCCAAATACTTACAATTTTTGAGGGAGCTTAGCAGTTTGTTAGACCTGGGTAACATAATGCGTTGAATAGTTGAACTTCTCAGAATTCACATACAACTTCTATAAGTGAAGAAATTAGTGTCTTGAGTTCTTTTGTGCCAAAGAATCTGAAGACTCTGTGTGTGTTACAGGCTTTCCTGTTAAATAAGAAGAGAATGAGAGAAAAAGGCTAATGACATCTGCAGCCTGGCAGGGGGGAGTCTTAATGTAGTCTGCATAGAGCAGAATGAACTGCAAAATAATTAGGACTTGGAAGAGAAGTCTGTGGAATGCTAATGTTTCGTTGCTTTTCCAACCTGAAAAGCTATTTATCATCAGTCAGGGCTGCAAGCAAAAGCTGCAGCAGATACTTCATTACATAGCTTGCAGCATCTTTGCACAGACTATCTTACTTTCAAAATGTGCAATTTTTCATTCTTTCTCCTCTCTGGGCTAATGTATGAGAAGCCAAGAACCTACCAGCCTTTAGAAAAGGCTAGTTTATGCTAGCACAATTCCTCTGGTCTACAGCAGTAGATCTCTTACAGGTTGAAGACTATCTGAGGAAAAATGTCACTTTTCCTCTGCAGGACTGCTACAGAAACTATCTATGTGGCTCTTTTTGATAATCAGTCGGCATCACAGAACAATTTCTTTGGGGCAGTTGATTTTCTTAGTTCCTGGTGTCTTCTTTCACAGGTTCAAGCAACATTTCAGACCTCTCCACCAGCTCTGCTGAGCATGAGTGGCAGGGTTCCTGGGGTATCTGACTTCCAAAGTGAGTTCAGGCCCATACATCTGGGAATGCATTAGAAAACTCTCATTTTATTCCTGAGCTGTTTTACTGCACTGGTTTCTCAAATGTGTACTTGAGCCAGTCATCATCCTCCTCTTTGTAATTTTCTAGCAATTGGGACAGTAGAGCAGGAGCTATCTGTGAGATGGGAATTAGATAAATTCCCTTAAAAGTCATGTTCCCCTGTGAGGTTTCCTCCACATAGATTATCTAATTTCACAGTCTGTTCCACTCTGTCTTTAGTGCTGCATCTGTTTTGTATGAACCTATGGTCAGTGCCAAGTTGTTACAGCCCTGTACTTCGCCTTTTGAGTTGTACCTTGCCAGAGTGTCATAGAATAGTTAAGTTTGGAAAAGACCCTACTCAAAGCAGGCTAAACTGGAGAAGGTTGCTGAAGGTCTTATCTACCCAGAAATGCACACTCTGCCTTGATTACATTCGTCGTCAACCAGTGTCTCAAGTCAGAGATTCAAACTTTTTTCTTTGTCACTGCATCCAAATGCATAAATTTGGTGCTAGTTTCTGCAGTTGTTAGGGAGGTATAAGTAATGTTTTTATAGTGAAAGCAGTTAGGAATGCAGTGAAAGAGTCCCAAGGGAGCTATGCATTTGTAAGATGCCCAAGTTAGCTTAAGTCCTAGAGGCTGTTAGATAAAATAGCATTACATTTCACCCTGCTTCTACAGCTAAACTTTAAATGAACTCCTGTACTTCTGTGATGTATCACACTGATATGGACATGTCTTGTGTATCACCAAGGCCATGTTAAACACTGCCCGTTAGAGGCATGCTTTTGTGGACCTGGAGACTTAGAGAAAAATTGTGTCATGTTGTAGTCGCAAATTAATGAGGACAATTGAAGCCGGTTAGGTGTATCTGGTAGTGTTAGATGTGTTAATAAGTTTCCTTAATTTTAGTAATTGACTTAGTAAAAACTGTATTTCAGCAACCTTGACCTGACCTTACCTTTCTTCTTATTTAGATATTAATTAGAGTGAAATGAAGGAATATGGTGGAACAGCTTGGGTACGCTCAGCACATTGTGTTATGAGTGTAGCATGGAAAACAAGCTAATATTATTTAGCTTTTTGGCATTAGAGTGATACCTATTCACGAAGAAGCCTAAGGCTTCTTGAAGTTATTGATACAGATATCAATCTTCTGTCTATGGGCATGCTCTCAGAAGGTATTTTAGGTCTACCTAGTATTACAGAAAGGTAAATAAATTTCTTAAAGTAGAAGAAAATAATACTTCGTTTTCCATGAAGTCTTAGCAACTACAGAGGTTTATTTTAGAGCTTGAAAACACTTGAGCACATGTGATAAGCAATACTATTTGGGAAAAAGTTTTCATTAAATTGTTCATTTGAATTAGAAACACAATCTATTGCTGTTAATCTTGTGTCTTTGTGCCTCTCTTTAGCCCCAACTGACGTTCTATGCATGTTTGGTATCAGAGTAGCTGTCAAACAAAATAATAGCATTCTCAACTGTGAATTTCTGTGTCTTTTCAAGTCCCCTCCTCCTCCTACACCCTTCCCCTCACCTCCCACTCCCTGAATGAAAAGAAGAATAAAATCCTCTGCCCTTCTTCCAGATGTAATTTTGCTATTTTATTAACAAATGTTACAAATGAGAACTTTAACTGTGAGATTACTTCACAAATAAAATCAATATTTTTCAGTATGACTTTTGTATGGCGTATGTACCCTCGTTTCATGCAATATTATTTAATTAGATCTCTGGATATTCATTAAACTCCGCACTAATATTAGATGAGAGTAAAAGTTAACTGTATTTTTGTGGGTTGGAGTTGTATTATTGTTTCAAAACTTCTGATCTTTTGGAAATACTTTTTTTTCTGTAATATTACTATCTTTATTATTTTTTTAGGAACAATTAGAAAAAGAGAAGCAGCAAAATGAAGGAAGAACCACAAATATGAGTGATAAAATGTTTGAAAAAAAGCGTAAGTTTACATACTTAGGTGCATATTGGTGGCACGTGGGTTGTTCTTAACCTTAGAAAGGGAAAGAAGGAAGCAGGGTGCAGACACTGTTGATGAATTAATGTTAGATGAAGATGAATTACTCTAAATGAATTAACATTAGAATTTAATAAAGCAACAACACTTTTAAAAATTGTTTATTTCTAAAGATGATTGTGAAAGCTACTGTATTAGAAAGAAGGCTTTTGGCCTTATTAATAAAATAGTGGTAGTTTTGAATCTATATGTTTTTTTCTGTTAGGCCGCAATGTAATTTGTGGTAATTCCAAAGTGTTAGTAGGGCTGTATTAGATATTATTACTGTTTAACCCAGGACTCATGCTTTTTTTGAATTCCTTTATTTGAAATTAATCTCTTTAAAAGAAGCATAATTTATACTATATATATATATATATATATTTTTTTTTATGAAGAGACAATAAAACATCATCAGCATTGACAAAAAATGTACCTCTTTCTTTTCCTGGAAGCTCTTCTAGTGGTACATCAACAGGTAAGAATTTCTTAAAAAAATTCTTCTCGAATGCTTTCATCTTACATGAGGACTTCAAAATCCAGTAAGCTTAAAACAATTAGCTTTTATGGGGCAATTTCACCTCATACATAGAGGAAAAAGATTCATTCTAAGAACTGATTCCTTTTTTTTTTTTTTTTTTTTTTTTTTTTGCTTTTTAGATTTATTTTATTCTTTCGTATAGAAGGTGGCATGAAGAATATTTTTTGCTGTTATTATATGTGTAACTTCCTTCAGTTAGCAAAATATAGCAAAAAATGATGTTAAAAGGTATTCTTAATTACTGAGGAAATGTAATGATTTCCATATTATAAATTTTTGCTACTAATGTATTTTAGGCAAAGAAGCCAAGAAATCCAAGTTGGTTCGAAGTCAGTCTTTCAGTACTCAAGCACTGCATCCGAAATACAGCAACATAGACAAGTGTCCTAAGTATCTTTATCATTTTAATTGCTTATCTAATGGACAACTTTCAGAAAATATTACATGCAAATCTGTACAAGTATTAATGTGCTCACTGAATTGTGGCCTAAATTTTCATCTTTCTGTTTAATTGGGTAAAGGTTGCAGTTTTGCACCGAGGGAAGCAATTCCACTGAAGTCAACAGATTCTTGTGAATACTTCTTATGTTAACATACGTCACCTTTTATCGTATTATTTCTGTTGTTCAATATGAACTTTGAGATCTAAATTCTACATGTCTTAAATATGGTCATAATTTTTGCAATTTATTCATATAAATTCAGAAGCTCAAATATTATCAAATAGCAGAATGTGAAAATAAACAATTTGGAAGACCTTTATTTTTATAATAAGCAGTTTATATTTATTTATGCTTTATTTTTTAAAGTAGAAGTGCTGCTTCAGGTTATACATCATC